CCGAATATCTTTTGCTCCTTCAACTGCTGTATCGTCAATGAGGTGAAATATGCTACCCTCTCGTCCTCTACCATCTGACCATCTGCCCGTAATCCTCCTCTGTGGTTACGGGGGTGCCATGAGATTGGAGCCAACGGGGTCTCCGACCTGGGCCATAAGCTGGCGGTGGAATCGTCTGGTGGAGGCTCCCCATCTTCATGACCATACCTAGCTGCTTCATCTGCTAAATCGTCCCAATCTATGTCCCCTTTCCTGCCTTCCTCACTTCTTTCAGATGCGAAGTCGCACATTATGTCTCTCTGCACAGCTAACTGACCTTGCAGCTTCTCTATCTGTCTCTGACATTTTGTATGATCCGCTGCACTAGTCTTCTCCCTGAGCTGCTCTCTGAATCACATTCATTGTAGTGATTTAAAAGCTGTATTTTTGCTTTCATCCTTCCACCTCATCTTTAGCTATTTGGACTTCTCCATCTCTGCATCTGGTGCTGGTTCAGATGTACCAAGTCCACACTCCTCTGTCCATGCAGATCAGTTATTTTTCACTGAGGCAGGCTACGTCCTCACGAAGCCCCTTATTTTCTTCCTCTAGTCTTTCCCTCTCTACCTTCACTAATTTGGCTTGCTATTGGCATTCCATCTGCTTCTCCATTAAACAGCCAATCGCTGCCACCTTCTGTACTGTTTTAAACTCCTTGTCTGGCATCTTCATTTGGGCAACGTGCCAAAGGGCTTCACCAGCGGACTTTCCTTTGTCCCTAGTGTGACCGGCATATTCCCTGTATTGTGGCCATTTGCCTATTATGTATTTCTGGAGGAGCCCCATCCAATCGGGGCAGTCCATTCCCTCCTGATTCATCATTATTCACTGGTGGCTACAGATTAGCCCCAAACTCCAGTCCAGACGGACTCAAGTCTCCCACTGACTCAACGGAGAGATCTTCCCTCTGACTCCAAGCTGCCGATTCGGTTCAACTCACGCCTCCCGCTGACACAGCAGAGAGGTCTTCCCTCAAACCTAAAGCTTCCACTCAGTCTGATCCGAGTCTCCTGTTGACTCAACAGAGAGATCTACCATCGGATCCAAGTAACAGCACCATATTATGTTGTCAGGAGCCCGGAGAACACCAGTTCCTGTTATTGGTGTATATAGAGAGGAGAAAAGTCAATTCTCGTAAACTCACAAATTACTTTACTAATGCATTAAACAAGACACATGTTGCTTAACTGTTTTTATCACAAAACTAGACTTTATATATTTCCCACAAACTGAACTAGGACCTACTTATACACCCACAAGAGTCCTCTGACACTCCCCAAGTAGTCACAGAATATAGAACCTAACACCCGATCAGGATCATAGGAGCAGAAAGGCTGACGTTTCGGGCCTAGACCCTTCATCCAATTTTCACAATTAAACTAGTCTCATTTGCCTGCATTTGGTCCATATCCTTCCATACCTGTCCCATCCATGTAACTGTCCAAATGTTTCTTAAGTGGCGAAAATGTACTCGCTTCCAGCACCACCTCTGGCAATCCATTCCAGACACTCACCACTCTCTGTGTGAATAATTTACTCCTCTGGACCCTTTTGTATCCCTTCCCTCTCACCTTAAACCTATGCCATCTGGTTTTATACTCCCCTATCATGGGGAAAAGCTGTCGGCTATCTACCTTATCTACGCCTCTCCTGATTTTATAGATCTCGTGATTTTATAGATATTCTCCATGGAAAAAATGTCCCAGCCTATCGAACCTCTCCTCATAACTCAAACTTTCCACTCAAGGTAACATCCTAGTAATTTTTTTCTACATTCTTTCTACTTTAATAATAGCCTTTCTATAGTAGGGTGGTCAGAACCGCTCACAGTACTCCAAATGTGGCCTCATCAACATCTTGTATAGCTGCAAGGAGACATCCTAACTCCTACACTTAATGCTCTGACCGATGAAAGCAAGCATGCTGAAAGCATTCTTCACCACCCTCTCTACCTGTGACTCCACTTTCAAGGAGCTATGAACCTGTAAGCCTAGATCTCTTTGTTCTATAACACTACCCAGGGCCTTACCATGACTGTGTAAGTCCTGCCTTGGTTTGACTGACCAAAATGCAACACCTCACATTTATCTATATTAAACTTCATCTGCCATTCCTCAGTCCACCAACCCAGTTGATCAAGATCTTGCTATATTCCCAGATAACCTTCTTTACTGTCCACTGTACCACCAATCTTGGTGTTATCCATAAAAGTACTAATCATACCTCCTAAATTCTCATCCAAATAATTTATAAAAATGACAAATAGCAGTGGATTCAGTGGCAATCCCTGTGGCACAGTGCTGGTGACAGGCCCCCAGTCTGAAAATCAACCCTGTAACCACCACCATTTATCTTCAGCCATCAAGTCAATTTTGTATCAAATTGGCTAGGTCTCCATGGACCCTATGAGATTTAAGCTTACTCAACGGCCTACCATGTAGTGCCTTGTTAAAGGCCCTGCTAAAGTCCATGTAGACAATGTCTACTGTACTGCTCTTATTTACTTTCATGGACACCCCTTCAAAAACTCAATCAAATTCATGACACATGATTTCCCTGGCACAAAGCCATGCTGAATATCCCAAATGAGTCCTTGCCTTTCCAAATGCTTGTACATCCTGTCTCTCACAATCCCCTCTAACAACTTACCAGCACAAATGTTAGGTTCACCGGTCTGCAGTCCCCAGGCATTTCCATGCAGCCTTTCTTAAATAATGGCACAACATTAGCCACCTTCCAGTCTTCAGGTACTTCACCCATGGCTGTTGATGATACAAATATATCAGCTAGGGGCCCCGCAATTTCCTCCCTATCCTCCCACAAAGTCCTGGGATACACTTCATCAGGTCCTGGGGATTTATCTAACAATGCATTTTAAGACTTCCAGCGTCTATTCTTCTGTAATGTGGACTCTCTTCAAGACATCATTATTTATTTCCCCAAGTTCATGAACATCCATGCCTTTCTCGATGAAAATACTGATGAGAAATATTCATTTAGGAACTCACCCACTTCTTGTGGCTCCACACAGATAACCTTGTTGACCTTTAAGATGTCCTATTCTCTCCATGTTTACTCTATTGCCATTCATGTACTTGCAGAATTTCTTTGGATTCTTCTTTACCTTTTCTGCCAAAGCCATCTCATGTCCCCTTTTAGCCCTCCCGATTTGTCTCTGAAGTGTACTCCAACACCCTATACACTCCTCAAGGAAATCACTTGATCCCAGTTGCCTATACATGTCATATGCCTCCTTTCTCTTGATGTTGGCTGGCTCTATGTATAAATTCCCTCCTTTGTCCTTAAGTGGACCTATCCTTTCCCTAGCTCCCCTCTTGCTCCTTATATGTATAAAACACCTTGGGATTTTCCATAATCCTATATGCCAAAGACATTTCATGGTCCCTGTTGGTACTGCCTGTTTTTAAAAGTCTGAATTTAAAAGTCTGCTTCAGTTCCCCGTTTTTAAGCAACACAAAAATGGTTGGACTTTTAAAAATAGCTTGCTTCAGCTTAAGTGAAAACTAACAACGGTGCCTCTGCGAAAGTGTCTTTCCAAGGCAGGACGAAGCATTATCCAAACAACAAGTTACAAGAAATATTCAAGGATGAACATGTCGAAGATTTGTAACAAAACACAGAAGAAATAATGAAATTGTAACTCAAAAACATTGAAAAATCACTACAATAAGTATTAATTCTAGTCTCATTAAGGATGTGTTCAGCCATAAAAACAGCAGCCAATGTTATCTTGCAGAAATTAGCTGTATCTTTGAAACTATTTACAATATTAATAAGTTCTAGTTAAAGATTCTTTAAATAATCACAGAGATAGATTTCAACGTAATTATAAAACATTAAAGAGACACCTGGCATATCTTGTCTGATTAGCTAAAAAATGTTATCAATAGAAATACTTGTAAAATTATAAGTATTAATATTATGAGCTTTTATACATCAACTTTTTTATATATAAAAAGGGGAAATGGAATTTGATTAGAGATAGTCAGTGCAATGGACAACAGAATTCAAGCAATCCTTAGAGATAACCATGACCGAAAGAGGACAGCCACTAACTTTAGAATGCAACATTGAAAGATCCCACAGATTACAATAATTGTTCACAAAAAAACTAAGAACCTAGGGCTGTCCATCAGAGTATCCATCATTGATTAGGTGTTTACAAGATTGGTCCCATGGAAGAGACAGGAATGGTACAGTAACCAGGTCACATATGATCATTGTAACACAAAATGTGTAAAAATAAGTGTGTCATTGATTTCTCTTCTCATCTGAGCTGAAGATTAACAGAATGATTGTGTTCTCACACCGAAACCAGAGTCAGGAAAGATCCTTTAGCCCTCTCCCTGCATTAACCTTTTTTTTTCGCTTGAATAAAAGTCCCCAACATGCCTGCATCCCGTCTGCCTCCTGAGCCTTTATGTCTCTGGTTTGGGGAATTTCGCTCCTACAGCCCCTTTGAGCCCTCCTAATTTCTTGTTTGATTTTTTTCCTCCATCTTTATATACTTAAAGGGCTCTAGTCTACCTTCAATTTCCTAAACCTTACATATGCCTCATTTCACTTTTTGCCTTAGGACTCTAGTTCACTTTTTTTTCCCATGGCGTTATGTATTTGATGGGGAGGGTTTTGGGGAAAAAAAGATGATGCTCGCAGCCATCCCAGAGGGAGTGAAGAGTAAAACTCGTGTGTCTGCAGGAACGCTTCAGAAAGTACATGACTACTTAGCAATGAGACTGGTACTTTATATGGTAACAATGCCGAAAAAAGAAAGTCATTCAACCACTTTCTGTTTATTCAATGACCTGAACATTCCAGATCTGGAGTTTCGAGAGAGAAAAAAAATATCACGAGGTGAACAGCAGACTTTGGTATGAGATAATTGGGTATTTAAAAGGCTAGGAGAAGCTTAGATCTCAATTAAGTCAGTCCACATTAGCTTAATGCAGGGAGAAATTAGTGAAATTGTAACAGAAGAAATTGAAAGGTGTTGTCTTGAGGGGTGGGGAACAAATGGGATCAGTGTTTTTAGGTGTCGGGATGGGCAGGTTGGGCTTGTTACAGTGCCTGATGCTGGCTGCCCTTTACGTCAGGGCAGTATTCGCCCAGTTTCCGCGGGTGTGTGTGCAGCCAGACGTGCTGCGAAGTGGGGAGTGTTGCCCAGGTCCGAGGTCAGACCCCGCTGACCGCTGCAGCTCCAGCCGGGGACGGGGCTCTTGTGTTGAGTTAGGGGCCGACTCGGCCCCTCATGGTCCCCAGTACCCGCACGATGGCCTGGACGAGCGGGAGCGCTGGCCCCTGCGCTTCTTCCGCCGTGGCTGTCGCTGCGCCGCGAACTTCGCCGGTTCCGACTGCAGCCGATGCCGCCCAGGAAGGAGTGGGGTCGACTGCCGGAGCCCGACTCTACCGCCGCGCCGCCGTCGGGATGCGCTGAGCCTGAGCGACCCCGACAGGAGGCGCCTCGTCGATGCCCTGCACCTCGCCAAAATAAGTCCTCACCCCGAGGTGGTAGTGGTTACCCGCCACCCTGGCAACTTGAGCACCGGGCAACTGCCCCCTTTCCAGAACATCTCTATCTACAACCTGTTCGTCTGGAGCCACTATTACTCGGTCAGCAAAACCTACCTGGGGCAGGGTCGCACCTTCGGGGGCATCGACTTCTCCCATGAGGGGCCTGCCTTCCTCACCTGGCACCGCTACCACCTACTGCAACTGGAACAAGACATGCAGGTAAGGACAGCCCCACCCCCTAAAAGGCACAGGGCATACGGAAAAGGTAAAGTCGCTCTCGTCCCAGAGCGATGTTCTGTTATCAGAGGGAGATGACTGGTAGTGGTTTAACCGGATGGTCACCACGCCGCTGGCGAGAAGAGGGATTCAGAAGGGGGCAGAAGGGTCCCACTTGAACCCGCGATGTTGACATCACTGCACGTCCAGCCAACTGAGCCAGTCGAAAAAGAACATGCAGTGACTCTGTGAATGCAACGCCTGTTTCTCGGTACATTGTGTTCAACCTTTTGTATTTTTTTAGGCTACCATCGGGAGGGGCTGTCCATTTTTTTTGGCTCGGTTAGGGGTTAGTACATCTGAATCAGTAAATTACGGGGGAAAAATTCAAAGCAAATGATCAATACCTTGGAAATCATTGGGAGACTGGCACATCACTAAAAATCCTCATGCCTCATAAATCACCGGGTAAAGACAGCAATCAAAAGACCGCAGATAAGACAGCAGAAAAGTTACCAGGGAATTGGTACAGTGTGTGTTTATGGCAGGTTTAATGTAATGAAACATCAAGAGGCACTTTCCAGGAACTTTATTTTTAAAACAAAATGACTTCAGATCACATTAAGTATTAGGGCAAAAACCTGATCAAAGTGAGGAGTTTTAGCAAGTGTTTTCCAGGAGGGAAGAAAAGCAAAGAAGCACAGATGTGGAGGGAGGCAAACTAGATCCTTGATAACTGAAAGCACAGCTAGCAAACAATGCTGGAATAATTAAAATTTGGGATATGTAAGAGGCCAGAACTTTGAATGCAGTTATCTCCAGGTTGGAAGATATTAGATTTGAAAACAGGGATGAAGACCTCAAAATCACGATGATGTTTTACTGTGTCGTGAAGATCAGCAAGAATGGTGATGATGTGAGAACAGGACTTGATGCAAAGTAAGACTGTAGCGGAGTATTGTATGATCTCCAGTTTGAAGGTAGAATGGGGAGACCAGTCAGGGTGTATTAAAATAGTCAAACTGAAGATAACAAAGACACAAATGAGGGTTTGAGCAGCAGCTGAGCTAAGGCTGAACTCTAGCATTATTTCAGAAGGGGAAATAGGTGTTTTTTTTTTTAACTGGTGCAAATGATTTGGAACTCACCTTGGGGATCAGATATAACCCCAACATTTCTAGTCTACCAATTTCAGACTGTTGAAGGGGATAGCTTTATGCAATTGGCAAATTTGGGAATATCGCAATTGATTAATCTAAGTCACTTATATATTAAACCAGTGTTGTCCTAACACTTGTCCCTTCATTCATAACCTACCATCCCTGTGAATAATCCATTTATCCCTATTCTCTGCTTCTTGTCTTTTAATCAATTTATAAACCTTACTTATACATTTTCATCAATCTTGTGCTGTAACTTTATTTATCAACCGTCTTGAACAAGATCTTGTCAATGACAGTTTTTTTTTCCAAAGAGTGAAAACTACAGGAGCAAATCCGAAGGGAAATCCCAGATATGATAGTGAGGTAATATTGAATATTATGACAATTGAAATTTTAGTAATTCAGCGTAAAGTGCAAGGAAAAGGAGAATTTTTTGAAATGCTCATGAGAACCTCCTTGACAAACTTGTTCTTTGTCCAATTAGAAAGGAAGCATTGAACAAAAAAGAAAAAAGAGTTGCATATGTTGGAAATCTCAAACCAAAACACAAATTGCTGGAGAAGCTCCACTGGTGTTTCAGCAGCTGTGGAGAGAAAGCAGAGTTAATATTTCAGGTCCAGTCACCCTTTCTCCGAACTGATTTGTAGCAAGGTAAAGGTGTGTATGTGTGTGGTTCTGGGAGTAGGGATGGGTATTGGTCCATCCGGGAGCAGCGCTAGCTGCTAATAAGGAGCTGACATTCATTGCTGACAATGCATTATTGTGGTAGCCGACCATGTAGAGATAAGGCCTGATGTGTCGGGGTTGGCGGAAGGGCATGGACAAAGGCCAGGGAATATGGTGTGTTACAGTAACAGGAAACTGGAAGGTCAGGATAATTTTAGACAACATGTTCTGTAAAGCAGATATAACACAGTGAGGAGCTGGAAGAACACAGCAGGCCAGTCGGCATCAAAGGGGCGGGAAAGTTGATGTTTTGGGTTGGGCCCGACCCAAAACATCAACTTTCCTGCTCCTCTGCTGCCTGGCCTGCTGTGTTCCTCCAGCTCCATAGTTGTCTCTGACTCCAGCATCTGCAGTTCTTCTTATTATTTCCGAAGTTCTTTTATGCACTTGCCCAGTCTGCATTTCACCTCCCCAGTGTACAGGAGACCACTGAAGAGTGAAGTGCACATAAGTTGCTGCTTCAACTCGAAGCTGTGTCTGGGACCTTAGATAGTAAGGACAGAGGAAGTAAATGGGAAGGTGATACACTTTCTGCAATTGCATGGGAAGATGACATGGGAGTGTGGAAGGCATTGGGAATGGCGGAGTGGACCATTGTCTCCCAGAGGAAGCCATCTCTGTGGAAAGTGTCCAGGGAGGGCAGGGGAATATGTATCTGGCATCCTGCTGGAGTTTGCTGAAATATCAGCTTATGATGCTTTGGATATGGATGCTGATGGGATGGTTAGTAAGGACCAGGAGGACCCGATTGTTTTCCTCACTAGAATCATCAGAATAGATGAGACCAGAAACTGGGAGAACGGAATGGATTCTCTACAGAAAGCAAATTGTGCAGATGTATAGTTCACATAGTTGGATCCATGGGTTTGTATTGGATATTGGTGGCCAGTCTATCTCCCTTCCTTGACATCTGTTTCCATTTCTGGAGAAGTCAGATGGACCAGGTGAAGGTGAAAGCAGGGTGGGAATTGTAAGTGAAATGGATAAATTTTTCCAATTCTGGACAAGAGATGGATACAGCATCAATAATGTCATCAATGTATCAGACAGTTGTTAAGAAGGACCCAAGTAGGACTGCAGTAAGAAATGTTCCTGATATCCCACAAACACAGGCATAACTATGGCCTATGTGGGTACCCATGGAAGAAAGGAAGCATCACTGGATCTGGTGCTGGTGAAAGAGGCCAGCCAAATGAACAAATTCTGTGGGGGGACACTTAAGTAAAAATGATCATTGCATCATAAGGTTTAGATCCAATAACTAAGATGGTGAAGAATTGATCTAAAGTTAAAATTTATAAAGCAAAGAAGGCTAAATTCAATGGGGTACCCAACCCTGTTACCTTTCCTCAAAATGTTTAGTCTCCCCTTGTCCCAGTTATGTCTGCCCACTGTTCCTCCCACACACGTCCCTAGCAACACCTGCCTTCAGCTTTAGCCCCCATGCCTATAATATCTGGAATGGGCAGGAGGCTGGAATTCCAGGAGGTCAGGTGAGCATGGGATGGGGTGAGAACAAGCAGGTGCAAGAGGATAGGATTTGGAATGTATACAGTGTTGGGGACTGTTGGTCAATGCCCACACCAAGTGTGAGTGGGCTGGGGATGACCTAGGAGGGAAGTTTGTCAAGTATCAGAATGGGGATGTACATTCCTGTGTTGTACTTTGATGCTCAAAGTGTTTTACTTCAAGTTGCTGAGTTCAGCAGACTTTACACAATGAAAAACACTGTAAATCTGTAAAATGAAAAATAGAGTAAGTAGGTCTAAGAGAGAGTGAATCATGCAGCAATCTGGATAGGGCAAAAACTACCATTTGAAAACTGTTAAATACTGCACGTGTGGGAGTATCAGCATTTCAGAGGTATTATTGACCTGACTTTAGTCCTGAAGCCAGAATGGTCAGGGTGATAATATAGGACAAAATTAACAGCAATCACTCTGTTTAAGCAAATGACTTTGGTTGTGTTCAAATCAATAGTTACAATGATGAAATGATAGCTTTTGATTTCTAGTAATAGGTGGTATAACATTGACTTTTATGGAGGGAGTGGGTGTTAATGCAGCATGTTGAAGCCGGGAGAAGATCAAAATTGGAAGTGGACCATAATTTGCATTGGCTGACCATAATTTACATTGGCTTAATTGACTTGGGTATGATGGATTGACTAGACACCTTACAATTTAGAATTTACTGTGCCAAGATAAACCTAAAACCACCTACTGATAACTTTAATGACTACTGAAGGAGTCCTGTATTTTATGAACAAAGTTTTCAGATTAATACAGTTGTATCCTGTATACTGAATGACTGCTTTGCTTGTTGATATAGGTGATGCTGCAGGACCCCACATTTTCGCTTCCATACTGGAACTTTGCCACAGGGAGAAATACCTGTGACATCTGCACTGATGACCTAATGGGAGCTAGAAACAATTTTGACCCGACCCTAATAAGTCCTAACTCGATCTTTTCCCAGTGGCGTAACCTCTGTGAAAGTTTGGAAGACTATGATACTCTGGGAACTATCTGCAATGGTAACCATTTAAAAATACAATGAAGAGAAAACTGCACGAAATAAAACATTTTAATCTGTATCTGATTAGAACCTGGATGACTTTTTTTGAGTAAATATTGGACTGGGAAAACCAGCAAACTACCCACTCGACTACCACTTAGAATTATTTCAGTACCCTTCAATCCATCGGGTCTAGGCCAGCTCACTGCAAGAGCAATTTAGGGAAGCCCCACTTCTCTATGATAATGAGATAACAAGGTGTAGAGCTGGATAAACACAGCAGGCCAAGCAGCAACAGAGGAGCAGGAAAGCTGACGTTTCGGGCCTAGACCCTTCTTCAGAAATGGGGGAGGGGAAGGGGATTCTGAAATAAATAGGGAGAAAGGGGGAGGCGGATAGAAGATGGATAGAGGAGAGGATAGGTGGAGAGGAGACAGACAGGTCAAAGAGGTGAGGGTGGAGCCAGTTTCTCTCCCCTCCCCCAACCACACCCCAAAACCAGCCCAGCTTGTCCCCGCCTCCCTAACCTGTCCTTCCTCCCACCTATCCCCTCCTCCCACCTCCAGCCCCACCCCCATCTCCTACCTCCTAGCGTCATCCCGCCCCCTTGACCTGTCCGTCCTCCCTGGACTGACCTATCCCCTCCCTAACTCCCCACCTACACTCACCTTTACTGGCTCCACCCCCACCTCTTTGACCTGTCTGTCTCCTCTCCACCTATCCTCTCCTTTATCCATCTTCTATCCGCCTCCCCCTTTCTCCCTATTTATTTCAGAATCCCCTTCCCCTCCCCCATTTCTGAAGAAGGGTCTAGGCCCGAAACGTCAGCTTTCCTGCTCCTCTGATGCATCTTGGCCTGCTGTGTTCATCCAGCTCTACACCTTGTTATCTCAGATTCTCCAGCATCTGCAGTTCCTACTATCTTCCCCCACTTCTCTATCCTTATCTTGTAGCTAAGCATTTTTTTTTCCTTCAGTTGCTTATCTAAGTTGTTTTCGAAAAGCATAGTTCAATCTTGCCCCACCAGTCTTCTGGCAGTGCATTCTAAACCTTACCCACTCACTGGGTGAAAAAGCTTTTCTTTGCCTTTTGGTTCTTTTGCTAATCACTGTATATTTTCACTTCCTGGTTCCCTGTAGTCACCAACGGGCTAACCTTCACCTATTGTCTCACCGACTTCAACATGTCAAACATCTTTATCAAATCTGCCCACCTTCTCTTCTCTTCAAGGTATGCACTGTATCTAAACTCGCTCCACTTTAAAAATAGCCTCCATATTCTGTTCCAGTTTTGACCACCAATTCTTGATTCCACTTTGCTTAATCAGGTCTGTTCTTGACCTAACAAAGCTGGTCTTTTCCCAAATAATTTTACTTGAGTTTACTCCTTGCCATTTTTACATATCCACCCTAAACCTTGCAATGCTATGATCGCTTCACTTAAGAGTGGACTCTTGACCTAACTCCTTCTCCAGAACCAGGTCCAACAATAGCTATTTTCTTGGACTGGAAACATACCAATGTAGAAAATTCTCCTGAATACATTTTTGAACCTCCTCTCCTTCTCTGCTCTTCTCGTATAAGCTTGCCAGTTAACTAACAGTCATCATCTGGCTGTACTGTTCCATGATGATGCCCCGACTAATCAGTCAACTTGCCAACAAATTAATGTTCCATTTTCATGCAGTTTAAATGTTGATTTCCCTTACATTTGGTACTTGAGTGCAAAATGAAAAACTTTGACAGAATGTCTTTTGAGTCACACTCTATAATTGTGGCACCACCTTGTAATGTTCCTCTTGGTCTTTCCCATTGGTTTGACCTGCATTACTTTGTAATGTAATAACATCCATGTTGTCTATTAGCACACCCATGTTTCTCTCCCTTTTTTGTTTGCAGGCAACCTGATTTACCTCCACATTAAGAAAACTTTGCTCTTCTATTCAGTTCTTTCTTTAGGTCAAGTTGTGCGCCCAAGACAATGCACACTCCTGAAGTCAGTTTCACATTTTAAATAGGGGGCTGAAATTCTGTTTTTCTCCAGCTTGCCATTTCTGTCTGGTCAAGTGGGATTTTGAAAGCCTGCTAGAAGGATGCCAGGTTTCAGTTCAGAGAAGTTGAAACTGTTCTGAAAATGAAAAGTCTAAAGTATTTTCTTCAACTGTAACAAATGGTGTTGTATTATATTGTAGATGTGGTTTTTAATGCTGTGATTTGTCACAGGGCAGTCTCTCCTTTTTATAAGGTAAGTTTACCTTTAACATTGAGAGCAGTTTAATAACTGTGTACATGCAATACGGTATTCACTAATTGAGAAAGCACCATCATTTAATAAAAATGTGTAAATAAAAAACTGACCTAAAATATTGTGCTCTGATTTAAATTGATTGGCAAATGACTTTTTTTTTACAAAAACCTGCTTTCAAATATAGAAAATGTGTACATCTGCTCCTTTCCAATGATCGGACATGTCGTTTAAAACAACAAGGTTTTGCTATGAAGGCTGTTCTATTATGAATGCTTGGCTGGATATCAAATACAATCTTAGAATCATCGAGTTGTACAGCACAGAAACCAGCCCATCAGTCCTATTCATCCGCTAACCAGATCCTAAATTGATCTAGTCCCATCTGCCAGCATTTGGCCCATATCCCTGTAAACCCTTCTTATCCATGTATCTGTTCAGATGCCTGTTAAATGTTGTAAATATGCCAACCGCCTCCACTTCCTCATATACTCAATACACTGACCATAAAGGCGAGTGTACCAAACACTGCCTGCACCACTCTGTCTACCTGTTACTCCACCTTCAGGGAACTTTGAACCTGCACCCCAAAGTCTCTTTGTTCAGTAACACTCCCCAGGACCATACAATTAAGAGTATACATCCTGCCCTGGATTTGCCTTACCAAAATGCAACACCTCACTTAGTTCAATTAAATTCCATCTGCCACCCCTCAGCCCATGTGTTTAAGGTCCCACTGTACTGAGAAACCACCTTTTCTGTCCACTACCTTCAGAATTTTGGTGTCATCTGCCAACCTACTAACCATTTCTCCTATATTCATTTAGGATTGATTTTGTTCTAAGGCAATAAATTTCAGGACACAGCAGAGTTCAGGCACGTGGTAATTTATTCAAGCATTCAGTGCCATGCAGGGAGAGGCCGGAGACCACCCTGAACCTGGCCTCAATGCGAGGGCTCAATAGCCCCCTTAATCTTTGGCTCAGATTGGAAGAGAAGTCAATGACACTTTTTTTTATACACAAGCAAATTCTCTTCTATACATTTTCTTGTTAATTTAACATGGTGTCACATATCCTTCCCCACCTCCCCTCCCCCGCCCCCATATACTATTGGTTAACTAATGCTGGGTTGTCCAACTGCGATTGAGTTTTTAGTACATCTTTCTATATTAATAATTGCTGGTTGTTGTGTTCTGATTGGACCATTTTAGTGCATAAGAAATTATAACTTCAGATGCTTGTTTTGCTGCTAGGCAATGCTTATCTTCACATTATGGCAGCTGTAGTCAATTTCAATCTGTTATCTGTATCAGGCTGTAACACAGACTTTACTAAATACTGTCCTTGCTAGAAGATAAGAGACCCTCTTCCATTACTTGTAATCAGTTTTTACACCTTCTAAATTTTTGTTTTTCTCTCTCTCTCCCTCCCTCTCTCCCTCTCCCTCTCCCTCTCTCTCTATAACCACTTCAGAATCTACATCTACAATTATCTTGCATCTTAATTAAAACCTACTCATAATATTCTAACAGATTGAATGATTTGAAAAAACTTAAGAGAAACAACCAATTGGTGTGGAATGTTCTTATCTAGGATAACAGTTTCATTTTTCACAGACAGCTATTGTTCTAATGCTGAGACCACAAGTCTTTCTCATGCTCTAATTTCTGTCAAACATGTACTGCAAAGCTTGTTGGGGCTTTCATTGGCCATTTTATGCTGTTCTGTCGTGAGACGCTCCAAGAGATCACATCCAAATCACTTGCGTAAATGACCACAAACAGTAGAACCATCACTGATCCTTACAGCACACCGCCAGTCACAGGCCTCCAGTCCAAAAAACAACTCTCCTCCACCACCCTCTGGTGTCTATGTTCAAGTAAGTTCTGTATCCAAATGGCTAACTCACCCTGGTTTCCATGTTATCTAACCTTGATAACCAGTCTCCTATGTGGAACACTGTCAAACACTTTGAAGTCCATACAGACAAAATCCATCATTGTGCCTTCATCAATCTTCTTTGTCACTTCTTCTTCAATCTCAAGTTAGTGAGACACGCTTTCTCTTGCACAAAGCTATGTTGACTGTCTCTAATCCCCCTTGGAGACCCCTCCAACAACTTACCCACTGCTGATTGTAAGGCTCACTGATCTATAGTTCTTTGGCTTTTCCGTAACAACTTTCTTAAATAATGGCACCATGTTAGTAAACCTCCTGTCATCTGGCACTTCACCTGTGGCTAAATATCTCCAAGCAGCCTAGCAAACACTTCCTTAGCTTCCCACAAAGTTTTGGGATACACCTGATCAGGTGTTTCATTCAAATTGTCTTCTATTCTTCTAACCTCCAACAGATATGAACTTAGCTTGTCCAACCTCCCATAAAACATGCCCATTCCAGGTATTAATCTTGTAAACCTCCTCTGAACTGCTTCCAATGCATGTAAAACTCTTTTCTTTAAAAAAAAGACACTATTTAGCACAGTGGCTCAGTGGTTAGCACTGCTGCTTTACAGCAGCAGGGACCCGGGTTCAATTCCATCCTCGGGGACTGTCTGTGTGGAGTTTGCACATTCTCCCCGTGTCTATGTGGGTTTGCTCCAGTTTGTTCCCAAGTCCAAAGATGTGCAGGCTAGGTGGATTGGCCATGCTAAATTGCCTGTAGTGTCTAGGGATATTTGGGTTAGACATGGGGAAATGCAGGAGTAAGGGAAATGAGTCAGGGTGAGATGTTCTTCAGAAGGGCAGTGTGGACTTGTTGGGCCAGATGGCCTGTTTCCACACAGTAGGGATTCTGATTTTTGATTTATTGTACACCATACTCAGATGTGGTCATTTGTGCCCAGTCTCACTGGTGCACAACCTTCTTTTTGCATTCCGTTTCCCCTTGCCATTAATAATTATTAGCTTTCTAATAGTTTGCTGTACTTGCATACTTGCCTTTTGCAATTCATGCACAAGGACAACCAGATGTCTGTGCAGCTTGTGCCTCTGGCCAAACTGTCAAGCTTGCTCTTTACCAGATTACCTTTGTTTAGCAAAGATCCTAACCTGGTTCATACTAATAATGTCTTCAGATACTGAGGGCGGTCCTATCCAGCGGAATCCAGGGGGGAATGTTGCTAGACCAATGGTGCAGCGTCTCCCTGATGCTCAGGATGTAGCAAAATGTTTAGAAGTATCTGCTTATGATACACCACCTTTCTACTCCAATTCAGAAGATAGCTTCCGAAACACAGTGGAAGGTAAGTGTAGTTAACATATTTTTACATATAATTGGGTGAATAGAATAACATGAAACAAATGAAATAACCAGAACTATTAATTAGATATTGATAACCCTATATTTTTGGTATATGTAAACTAATCTTAAGATACCAGTATAAAAGATGTGATCTTATTTTTGTGAGTTTTCTGCCTATTTGCCTCTTAGTGGAAAATTGGCTCTGAAGGATATGCTTGAATAAAACCTATGTAGGAAGTGCCCAAGTGTCATTTGGTCAGTTATGCAAACCCAGGTAGTTGGATGACAGTTCTTAATAGCTTCCAACAGTGATTTGTAGTTTTTATAATAACTACAAACCATAGCTTTTTAATGAAAAAATGTTAAGTCAGCAGAAGTCAGTATTTACCCATACGTATTGCACTGAGGGATCCCAGATGCTTTGTACAGTCTAGACAGCCACTTATGCAAGGGAGCTTGAGACTGAGCACAGGACTCTAAATACAATCAACTGGTTTCAAGATGTTCAAGAGGCTGAAAGTTTCACTGACTAAACAGCGGAGAGGATATAGACCCTAACAGCATTGTGGTAGTAGTAAAAAGGTTTTGGCTCCAGAGCTTGCCGCACCACTATCCACTACTCAACAATATGGAAAATTGCCCAGGTACATCCTGTATGCACAAGACAAATGCAGCCTGGCCAATTACTGCTCTAATCAGTCATCAGTAAAATGATGAAAGGTGTCAGTAATACTTCTATCAAGCAGCACATGCTTAGCAATAAATTGCTCATTGCTAAGTTTGTGTTCTACAAGAGCCACTAAGCTTCTGGTGGAGAGTGATGTCAAGGTCAGTGAATGCTGAATTCGACCATGTGCAGTCAAGGATCCTCCATAACACTAGAATCGATGGCAATGGGGTGGGGTGGAGGAGAGGAGAACTCTCTCTTTCTCTTAATTAGAATCATCATACTTGGCATAAAGGGAGATTACTCTGGTTCCTGCTCCGGGATACATCTGCAGGTGTTCCTCAGAATAAACAACTTCTAATCATTCTGTTCAGAGATATTGTAACCCACCTCTGGAAAAGGTGGGACTTGAATCCAGGCCTTCTAGCTCAAAGAAACATTACAACTGCACCACAAGAGGCCTTTCCTCAGGGTGGTATCCTGGGCCCAGCTATCTTCAACTGCTTTGTCAATGACCTTCCCCGCATTGTAAGGTCAGAGTGGGGATGTTCACTACCATGAATGCTGAACATTATGAAATCAGTGAACAACTTCTTAGATACTGAAGCAGCCCATGTACAAATATGACAAGTCTAGTACAATTACCAGATAAGTGGCAAGTGACGTTCATGCCACACAAATGCCTGGCAATGATCATCACCAAGGGAGAATTAAACCATTGTCCCTTCACACTAATTAGCATTGCTATCACTGAATCTTCAGTAGCAACTTCCTGGAGATTACCATTTGACTGCAAACTGAACTGGGCAAGTCATATTAATAGTGGCTACAGAAGCAGGTCAGAAGCTAGGAATCCTGCACCTCCTGACTCCCCAAAGCCTGATAACCATCTACAAAGCAGATATCAGAATGCGACGGAATGCTCCCCCAATTTCCTGGATGAGTGCAGCTCCAAAAACACTTGAAGCTTGATATCATCCAGTACAAAACAGCTGTTTGATTGGCACTGGCACTGAATCCACAAACATTCACAACCTCTGCCAATGCTCAATTGCAACAGTGTGTACTGTAGAAATTCACCTAGGCTCCTTAGACAGCAAATTCCAAAACTATCTTCACTTCTATCTAGAAAGACAAGGGCAGCAGATACATCAAAATGCCATCACCTGCGATTTCCTCTCCGTGCCACTTGCCATCCTGATTTGGAAATTTATTGCAGTTCCTTCACTACTGGGTCAAACTCATGGAATTCCCTTCCTCACAGCACTAGGCCAAATGGACTGCAGTAGACCAAGGCAGCTCACTGCCACTACCACCGCCACTAGGGCATCAAAGGGACAGGCAGAATGTCACCTCAGCTAACAATTCCCATATCGTGTCAATGACTTTTTCTTTAAAAGAAGACAGACTAGGGTCCAATCGAAAAGCTAGTATCTCATAATCCCTGCAGTACAGATAATGGCCATTTTAGCCCATTGAGTAGAGCTAAAGTCAGAAATTTTGGTTTGGGCAATAGAAACAAAGGGACAGTAAAAGGTCTAAAGTGATTCAACCAAAAGTCCTAGTTTAAAGGACTTTAGGCATTTCTTTCCATCAGAGGCAATTTTTATATAGCTTGAGGCCACACTGGAATAGTGGGACAAGATGAGAGGGCAGACTTCTATACACCAGGCCTGGGAGCGAAATATACCAGCTCATTGCATGCAGGAACAATGGGGAAAATGGTGTAGTCATGATTGATTTAAGGGTGAAATAACTTCAAATATAAGTGAAGAAATAACCAGGTTAGAGAAACTATTGCTGCTGATATTAGGGGGTATAGTCTAAAGATAAATGCCAGTTCTTTCTCAGAATTGAGGAGGAGTTCCACCCAAACTAATAGAAATTGGTAACTCTATTTCACAGTTTGTCAATTTGAGAGGTTTGTTTTGTTCTCCTGAAGTGTTAAAGGATATAGAGCAAAGGCAGGTCAACTAGTGTTATGTTGTAGCCAAAGCACAATCTTATTGAATGCTGAGTGGAACAGACTTAAGGGGGAAAGGCCCACTCAAACAGGTCTCCTGTGCTAGTTTAGAATGGCTTTAAATATACTGTTTTTCTAATGTTTTAACTTTGAATTGGTTGTGATCTCTCTTCTAGGTTATAACGACCCTTCAGGACGGTATGATCCAGCAGTTCGCAGTTTACATAATCTGGCACATTTGTTTCTTAATGGAACTGGTGGACAAACCCACCTGTCTCCGAATGACCCTATCTTTGTTTTACTGCATACATTTACTGATGCAATCTTTGATGAATGGTTGAAGAGGAGTAAGGCAGGTAATCTGACAAACTAATTTTAATTGTTGTTGCTGGATCTTTATAATATGATATTTTTACGGCAATTCCAAATAGATTGTAGATGTTTTATAATAACTTGTGTATTGGTCAGCACAGTTCTTGAGTTCAAGAGTCATATAAAACTTGAAATTTCATCTCTTTCTCTTTCATACATTCCGCCTAAAGGGTTTCTCCAGCATTTATTTTTCTTCCAGTTTTTGATGTGAGCAACATTGACTAGTCCAGCATTATTGCCCATCCCTAATTGCCCTGGAGAAGGAAGCGGTGAGCTGCCATTGTGAACCACTACATCCCTTGGAAGTAGGGTCACCCTCAGTCCTACTCGGAAGGGTAGTCCAGGATTTTGACTCAGTGACATCGATGGGATGACTATATATTTGTTACAAATCAGGATTCAAATACTCAATCTTTATGGAATCAAGTCATACAACATGGAAACAGACCCTTTGGCCCATCTCATCCATGCCAAGCAGGGTTTCTAAATTGAACTAGTCACATTTGCCTGTGTTTGGCCTATATCCCTCTGCACCTTTTCTATCCATGTCTTTTAAATGTATTTGAACTTAGCTCTACTGCTCCCCTGGCAGTTCATTCCATACATGCACCAGCCTCTGTGTGGAAAAAGTTGTCCCTCAGGAATTTCTTCTTTTTAAATCTTTCCTCTCTCACCTTAAACCTATACCCTCTACTTCATCTATGCCTCTTATGATTTTATAAACCTCTATGATGTCATCCCTCAGCTTTCTATGCTGCAGGTTATTGGAACCATTCTCAAATCTTATCTGCACTCTCTCCAATACCAATGTATGCCTGGATGCATTAGATCCTGGGGATTTTCAAACTTTGCCATCTAATGTATACTCTTACCAATTTGTAACCCATCCAATGTTTCAGCAACCTCTTCTAAACTTTGGCAGCATCTTCCGTGGGAAGACGTGTGCAAAGTACTTTTTTTTTATTTCCTTAGCCATGCCAAATGCCTCCATGCATCAATTCCCTTTTTGGACCATTGTCAACTCTGTACCTCCCTTGCCACCCTCACTTACTTGGATGCCTACTAAAAACTTGGAATTCCTTTTTATATTCACTACCTTTTCGCTTAGTATTTCCTTTTTTACTTTTTGTGACTTCTGCTCTGAACGTTGTATGTTAAATTCAGTTTTCAATTTTTAATATTATCGATCTAACATCTGCTCACTTTTATTTACTTTCTCTCTCTTTCTTCATCCAGAGAGCTCTGGTTTGATTTGTCCCCTCTTTATCCCCATATGGGAATGCAGCCTAACTGTATCTGAGTCATCTTTTTATAGATAGCCCATTGGCAGATGAAACTGGCACAATCTAATTCCAGTTTATTAAGATGTGACTTTCATCCATTGAACTGCCCTGCCCCCCAACCCTGATTGATTAACTTTACTCTGGACTGCTTTTCGTCCTAATGTATTGTTGGTCCTCTATTGATAACATCATTAAACATGTCATGCATTCACATACCAGCTCAGTACATCAAATGTAGGTTTATTTTATTTACATTCACTAACCCACATAATACTTTCCTATTTCTTACTCTAGTGCTAGCTGTCTCTGCCAATTCTTTGTCCACCTTGATTTTCCCCTTTTTTTTAGTGGTCTATCCTCAATCTCATCCACCTGCCAAATTAGTTTCAATCTTCCCTAATAGTAACAGCAAACTGCCCTGCAAAGGCATTGGTCCCAACTTTGGTAGGGCGAGTTACAAGTCCAGCTCTCCAAAAAGTTAAGTCTCAAATCTAAATCCCTCCCTAGTGCATGATCTTTTCTCTCCTATTTCCTATATGTTGTCAAGGTCCATAGCCACATCCTCCAGTTAGATTCCTAGAAACATAATAGCACAGTGGGGCAATTTTGGCCCATCAAGCCCAAGCCAGTTCTCCTTAGAGTTATCCAGTCAGTCCATTTGCCACTCCTCTTCCCATGGTCTATATATTAAACTCCACGATCCAATCCAAATTCCTTTTAGAAATCATTATTTGTTTCTGATTCCAGCATCATCTTGGGCAGCAAGTTCCAGATCATTACTGCTTTGCATTTATGTAGCTTTTCCTCTCATTCCCCACTGTTTACCCATCTCCCCAACCCATCCCATGCCTCTTACCAAAACATCTTGTATAATTAGCTGATGTGGACAGCTTTTCTTTGCCTAAACTTGCCATAATCTTGTACCTGTCTATTCAGAGATAGCAGGAACTGCAGATGCTGGAGAATCTGAGATAACAAGGTGTAGAGCTGGATGAACACAGCAGGCCAAGCAGCGTCAGAGGAGCAGGAAGGCTGACATTTCGGGTCTAGATGCTTCTTCAGAAATGACCTGTGTTCATCCAGCTCTACACCTTGTTATCCCTGTCTATTCAGTCTCCCTTTACTGAGAACCATTCCCAGTTTCGTTAACCTATACTTGTAGTAAATTCCTCATCCTTTTATGCTACATTAATTCTGGTAAACCTTCTCCTTGTCCTCTCAAGGGCCCACCATCCTTTCAAAGCTGTGATAACCAGAACTGGCAGCCACGCTCTGTGTGACCTGATCAAAACTTTATAATGGTTGATTGTTCATTACCGTTTATAGCTTTGATCGGCTCCGCTCCTCGTGGGATCACTTAGTTCTAAGGTGCATTGTTCCCCTTTTGTCTCTTTTATTTAGTCCTGTGTTGTTTCTTCACCAAGTTGGCATCACATGTTTTATGCTGCACCTGATATTACCACACTCTGGATTGAGCCAGGATTGATTGCTTAGCGTTATCCTAATTGGTCAAATGACATATGCTGCATCACATTGCACAATATTAAATATAATTCTGCTGTCACTTATGACTACAGCTCAGGGTAACCGATTCTAAATCTTTTCCATTAGCACAGTGGTAGTGCAATGGGACCAGATCAAAAGTGTCTTCTATCTGAAGCCTAGATCAATTTCAAATTCTGCTTAACTGGAACACATCTTCCATCCTTTAGCCATATCCACACACTCTGCACATCATTCTCTATTTGCCTGTGATCACACAGCTTTACATCTTGCCCAGTTCCTTTTTTAAATATACCTATCTCTACGATGTTCTTCCAGTTCTGAAAAAGGATCTACACCCCCAAAAAAACATTGTTCATCTCCCCAGTCTTTGGATGTTTCCGTCACTTGATGTGAATTCCAGCACCTGGAGTATTGTTTTTCTTTGCTAATATTGTACAATGAAATGGTTCTCGTCTGCTGTGTGCCTAGTTTATGCCACCCTGTTTGATTTATATATCACATCATTTTCTTCCCTGTTCTTTCCTCAGATTTATCTGCCTTTCCAATTGAAAATGCTCCGATAGGACATAATCGAGGGTACAATATGGTTCCTTTTTGGCCTCCAGTCACCAATGCAGAAATGTTTGTACCTGCAGAAAACCTTGGCTACACTTATGACATTCAATGGCCAAGTAAGTTTTTCATGTAGCTAGCAAAAACTCTTAAGCATCACGTTTTGAAGGTGTTCAATAATTTGTGCAGCTTTCAAGCAGGCTTGAACTTTTTCCTAAAAGATGTTACTGTGTCAGAAGCTGATCAGAAAACGTTTAGTAGACAATACCTAGAATGAGTGATTGCCTTATAAAGAAAGGTTAGGCTTGTATCCACTTGAGTTTAGAAGATCTCTTCTTTCCCCCTGCCAAAATGCTTTAATTGAAATATGTAAGGTCCTGAGGGGACTTGATTGGGTGGTTGTGGGAAGAGAATGTACAACTAGAGGTCACATTTTAACCATAAGGGGTCACATTTTAAACAGCTGAGGAAACATTTTTCTCTCAAATACTGAGCCGTTGGCATTCGCTTCCTCAAACAGCAGCAAATGTCGAATGTTGAAATACTTTTAAGGCATTTTATCAGGGGTGTACAAGAATGTTGACTTGAGCTTAAAATTAAATCAGGCGTAATCTTATTGAATGGTGGAACAGACTCAAATGACTAATAATGAGCAGGCCTGTATTAATCAGTTTCTGTTCCCATTAAAAATCATTTTGAATTCAGACTGAAAAGGACCACAAACACTAAGGGGAACTTGACAAATGCTCAAAGATCATGTCAGTTGGTAGCTTTAGGTATAAATTTGTGGGCAGGTTCTTGTGGTGCATTAGTAGTGTCCCTACCTCAGAGTTAGGAGCCCTGGGTTCACGTCTCACCTGCTCTAGAAGTGTATCATAACACACTTGAACAAATTTGATTTCAAAATATCTATCTATATTTGAATATTTCAGAAATAGTGCAAATGGAAATTTCTCTGATCAGTTGCATGTCACATCATAATAGACATGAGTACATTTTTGCTGAATATCTGTTCAATTTGAACTGGATTAAACATTCTTAGCCTTGCATATCCTCTGCAGATCGGCCGCTTTCGTTGCTGAAAATGATAACTGTGGGCATCGTATCTGCACTAGTCTTGGTTGCTATTGTTTTCACAGTCTCCACATTACTTTTACGCCACAGAAGAAGAAAACTGTCTGCAAGCGAACTGAACCAACCTCTCTTACAGACTCCATATCCACACTACTCTGATTATGATGCATCAACAGTGCCCCAAAAAACACCCCAATCTGCTATCTGACTTTTTGTTTGTGCTTTCGTACCAACCAACATGCTAGAAGAAAACGACTGACTTCCTGTAATGGTAATTGTTTGCAAGTGTTTACGTAAACTGTTTTGATCAAAGACAATCTGGAAGGGTGCTTAACAGTTTCTAATCTCAACCATCTACAATGAAAATGGCTGTTGGTGGCATATAAATGGAAGCTGTAATGGTTTTTAGTTTAAAACTCAAAGTTTGAAAACTTTGGTTGACGAATGAACTTTTCTGCTAAATTGATCTACAAAAAGTTGTAACTTCAATAAAACATTAACAATTTCATGGTGGTTAATATTGTGATCATAAAACAAAATGATACTTTGAAATAGAGCACATTGCTAGACCAAACAAGGCTTTTCCCCCTGAGATTAGATACGCCTTGTTTACTTCTCACTATATCTCTTGATACCCTCCTATTCAGAAATCCTCATATGTATCATTACATGGTAACTTCTCCGACAATTTTATAACTTTTGTGATGAAAATGCTCCACCCAACTTGCCTTTTTCATCACCTTTACATCTTAACACAAATTTCAGATCATTTCAAAGGCAGCTTTTATAATAGCCAGTTTTCTTAACCTCACATTCATAATTTGTCTAAACTGCAAGCAAACATTCTAATGTGCATTGTCTACTTTATTAACCTAGATTTACTTTGTTGAGTGCTGCAACCTAAACAATGCATTACTGTACCTCACTTACCATATTTTTTTTTGGCATTATGATTTTTGCTGAGTCTTACTGCCTGCGGTGCAGTGCTGACCTCTCTAGAGGGAATGAAATGTAACAGTGATCTGACACAATTGCATTGGTTGCAGTCTTTGCATTTGTGAATAGGAAATCAAGCGATTCCACAAAGGTTTCAGTGATTCTTTGGGGATGAGCCAGTCACATTAAAGTCATTTTGGTGGCCACTAGGTTAGGATGGTCACCTATTCTCTTGGATCATATCCCATTCCAACAGCTGGCACAATTTAGTCAGTGGCCTGGGATATCCTTGGACTTCACAAACATTGTGACTCACTCAGCCAGAGGAAATGACATGACGATGAAAGACTTTGGCCCACTTGTGTCTCTAACCATCCTGAGAGGCCCCTCATTTGTGACTGCTTCATGTGGAGGCTGTTCAGGTTCTGCTCAAAGTTGCTGCTAGTCCTGGGCTCACTAGCTCATCTGTTCCTCCTCCATCTTTTGATACCATCTGTATAGCAGTAACAGCAGTGATAACTCCTGTTGCTGAAACCATCAGTCCACACTTGCAATGACTGAGAAACAAAACCTAATAGGTGCTTTAATGATGTAAGGAGTCAGTATTCAGGTCGTGTAGTAATAATATCTTTGCGGACTCCTGCATACAGTTGGATAATGAACACTCTCGCAAGGTGGGCCATGGAATACCTCTAAATGGACCTTTGACATCAAACTTTAATCTGATGAATGTAACTCTATCATGTGACAAAGGTAGTAAGAGAGTGTAAGTGTTGAGTAGGCTATGAATCCTTCTCCTCCCAGCTCACATCACTCATGAAAGGGTCATTGCATATGTGAGTCCAACATTACAATAATAGTTGCTGATACATACCAAACTGCAGCATGGCAGTGTAGAAGTGTACTGCGTTGATCAGAAATGTGTCATGATGATGCAGAGTGGTTGGCATATAGTGGATACTAGTGTTTGCAGATGTGAGGTGCATGTAGCTACTTCCCTGGAGTGTGCCCTGAGATACATTCATCCTGATTGTTCGAGATGTAGGTCTGATGGACCAAGCATCAAGCTGGACTCGCTAGGTACCTTTTCAGAATTTCTTATCTTGATGTCTAGATTCAATCTATCAGACAGCAGAATGAAAACCTTTATGTCAATAATGCTAGATTATCATCCTTATTATTATTTAATGAGCAACAAGCCCTGTTAATGCTGCTCATTAGTGAGAATCTTGTCACAATGTCCAGGACATGGGTTTGAGTGAACATTTGTAGCTCAGGTGCTGGTTGTAGATGTTGTTGTGTTTGCTGAGCTGGGAGATTCGATAGCAGACATTTCGTCGTCTTACTAGGTGACTTCCGCAGTGCTGTGGAGCCTCCTGTGAAGCGCTGTTGTCTTATACCAGTTTGAATTTATATGGTCTGGTTTTTGCTGCTTCTGGTAGGTGTCTGTTCTGGCTGTGTGTTGTAATGGTCAGTGAATTAGACCTGATATAATGTGTTTGTTGATGGGGTTCGCGGATGAATGCCAAGCCTCCAAGATTTCCCTGGCTGTCCTCTGTTTGGCTTGTCCTATGATGGTAGTGTTGTCCCAGTTGAAAGTGTTGTTTTTCTATCTGTGTGTATTGAAACCAAAGACATCTGGTCGTGTTGTTTAGTTGCTAGCTGGTGTTCGTGGATATGGGTTGCTAGTTGTCTGCCTGTTTGTCTCATGTAGTGTTTTGTGCAGTCTCCACATGGTATCTTGAAAACCACATTTGTCCTGTCCATAGTATCTACTGGGTCTTTAACGCTGGTCAGTTGCTGTTTTAGTGCAGCTGCCGGTTTGCGTGCTGTCATGATTCCTAGTGGTCTGAGTAGTCTGGCCATCAGTTCTAAGGTTTTTTTTATATATGGTATGGGGGTTATTTTTTCAGGTTTTGATGTATCCTGGTTGTGTTGTCTGTTGGCTAGGCATCTGTGGATGAAGCTGTGGGGGTATCCATTCCTGGTAAAGACCTTTGTAGAGACGTTCTTCTTTTTCCTTCTACGGATCAGGTGTGCTGCAGTGTGTGGTGGCCTTTTTGAACAGGGTCCTAATGCAGCTCCCCTTGTGTGAGTTGGGGTGGTTGCTGTGATAGTTTAGGACCAGGTCAGTACGATGGAAAGAAAAGAGAATGATGACTTCACTACAAAAATATACACCACACTAAATCTATGTATGTATCCCATAATTTTATAGACTTCTATCAAGTCTCTCCTCAGCCTTTGTCGCTCAAGAGAAAACAACCCGAGTTTTTTTCTAGCCTCTCCTTATAGCTCATACTTTCTAATCCAGGCAGCATCCTAGTAAACCACTTTTGCACCCTGTGCAAAGCTTCTACATCCTACCTGTTTTCTGGTGACCAGAAATTAGCACAATACTCTAAGTGTGACTCTTGTACTCAATTCTCTCACCAATTAAAGCAAGTATACCGCGCGCCTACCAGCCTATCTACTTGTGTGGCCACTTTCAGGGAGCTATGGCCTTGAACCCCAAGATCCTTCTGTACAATAATGCTGCCATTAACTGTATGCTGTTCTTTAACATTTGATCTCCCAAAGTGTAGCAGTTACTTGTATTAAACTTCATCTGCTATTTGTCTGCTCATATCTGCAACTGATATATATCCCACTGTATCCTTTGACAACCTTCTACACTATCCACAAATATGGGTGGCATGGTGGCTCAGTGGTTAGCACTGCTGCCTCACAGAGCCAGGGACCCGGGTTCAGCTCCACCCCTGGGTGACTGTCTGTGTGGAGTTTGCACATTCTCCCCGTGTTTGCGTGAGTTTCCTCCATGTGCCCTGGTTTCCTCCCACACTCCATAGATGTGCAGGTTAGGTGGATTGGCTATGCTAAATTGCCCCTAGTGTTTAGGGATCTGTAGATTAGAGTCACAGACCTCCAGCCTGAAAAACACCATTCCACCACTATCCTGAATTCACTTGGCCAAGTCACCATGGATCCCATGCATCATATCTGCTGGATAAGCCAACCATGAGGGACCTTGTGAAAAGCCTTACTAAAATCCATTTAAACAACATCCACTGCTCTACCCTCATCGAACACATTCGTCCACTCCTCGGAAAAATTCAATCAAGTCAGTAAGACGTGACCTGCCCTGCATAAAGCCATGCTGACTGTCCCTAATTAGGCTATGCTTTTCCAAATGTCCATAAATTCTAACCCTAAGAATTCTCTCCAATAGCTTCCCAACACCGATGTGAGGCTCACTGGCATTTAGTTTCCTGTATTGCCCCTATTTCTCTTCTTGAACAGAGGAATAACATTTGCTACTCGCCAGTCCTCTGGGACCTATCCAGTGGCTAGCAAGGATACTAAGATCTTGGTCAAGATCTAAGATCTCCTCTCTTGCCTCTCTCAGTAACCTGGGGTAGGTACCATCGGGCCCTGGGCACTTACCTACCTTAATGCTTTTCAAGAGATTCAACACCACTTCTTCCTTGATCTCAAAATGCCCCAACATATTAGCATGTTCCACACAAATCTCACTATCCTCCATCTCCTTCTCCTGGGTGAATACCGATACAAAGTACTCATTTAGGATCTCACCCACATCCTCTGCCTCCAATGAATTTTAAATAAAGATAATTAATTAATCTAGATGCTGTACATAATATGTTTGTGATGTTTGCCAGCGATCAAACTGATCAAATGGCAGGAGACTGGATGGTGTCAAGGTTTGAACACATAGCTCATCTGCATGGAAAACGGATCTAAGAAAGTTTACGTCTGTGTGATAGCTAGATAGCTCAGGAAGGGTTATCAATTGAGATGGCTGATCACCTGTTTCAGCTTAATACTAAAACAAGATCATTGTAAGCACTGTATTAATAAGATTTTTGCAGTATTTTTAGTAGAATACTTCGCTTTAAAAAGAAAATTGGATATATTTCACTGACAGAACCACCTTGGATTATTGATAACCTGAGTAAACCCAAAAGACCTGGGTAGTAGGAATGAAAGCTTATCATAGCTGACAGTCTTCAATTTAAGAATAATTGTTGCTGTCACCTGGACCTGTTTTCAGGCCATTAAACCACTGTTGTGATTACTGGGAGCCACACCACACTGAGGAGACCAGGTAAATCTGGGGTCAAGGGTCTCAGTTAGGGGTCAAATTCAAGAGGCCTGGTGTGGTTAATGGGTGGGCTCTGATAGCATCAGGGGTCCTGCCACCAAAGCCAGTCCAAACAGCAGAAGAGGGTGGTCCATGGCCAAAATGATGACTGAGGCTCTTAACTGTGGCCATTCTTTGGCCTCTTAAGGGGCTCACCAGACATGAGGGAGGATGAGATTCTGGATGCCCCCATTCAACCCGGTAAAATCTGAGACCGGTCCATGGACCATGCAGCAGGCATCTGCACATACCCTGTCCCCTTCCCACCAAATGCCTTCAAATTCATCAGCAGTGGACCATACATTCCAGCTGCAAGAATAGGGGAATGAAGAAGCATGTCCCAACATTCTTTTAACAGAGCTACCC